ATTTTCAACGTCAAATTAAAATCATAAATAATGGAGATAGAGTTTCAGGACTTTTTTTAGCATGTGAAACACGCTAACTATACCTGAGCATAAAAAAAATATTCAAAAGATCTTTTTCGTATGATATAGAGACTTTGGGCTATATCCGGGATGTACCTAACTTTTCGTTATCTAATGATGCATTTAAATTGAGTTAGAAAACGATTCTCATTAATTTTTTTTGTTTTCTGATTAAGGCCGTTATTTGATGATTTTCATTCAGTCAACAAATATTTATTGACGTTCATGAAACGTATTTTCTCTGTTTTCTCAGAATTCAAACGAAACTTTCTCAGATTAACTAGGTAATGGAACTCGATGAAATTAAGCGCTTCAAGTAACTTCAAAGGAATCACAAGAGAGAAAAATTTGAAGCCTATTAGTATTTGATTTGTAGTGGATAAATAGTGCTTCGCTCCTGTAGAGACAAAATGAACCTATCTACAACTTACTTCGGGCTAAAACATCATAATTTGCAATGAAAAATATCCTCATGATATAAAAACTACAAAGATTCTAAAATTTTGTCGGAATATTCAGACACCAATGAAAAAATTCTCTTCGGTATAAAACCAACCAAAAAATTGTGACCCGTCATGGGACACCTAGTCGATGTGAAACATCAATAATAATATTTTGTGCCCCTGTGATGATTGTTGGGCACTGAAATATTTATAAAAAATATGAAGTTGAAATATACATGAAAAAATTTCAATGTGGCTTCAGTATACTATAAAATAATAGTAAACTGAAGAATCTTAGCTAGTTATTGCAATATATCACCATGTTAGGAATCACACGTTAAAAGGTAAGACCTCGTTAGTCCTTAGCTCGCACAGGTTTCTCACTTTTTGAGAGTTGTCGTTCGTATGGGGGCGACAGATGATTAACGGAAAAACAGATTTTTTTTTATTACTGAAGATCTTAAAGTATAAATATCAATAATGAATGTTTCAATATAAATTCCACCATCATTATAAAACTGAGAAAATGAATGAATGAATTAATTTTTTGATGTTCCTATTGATATCAAATGAAAAAACATTCGTGCGCTACTCGCTTTCAGCTGATTTTGAAATACAATTTTGTCAGTCTTCATGAAATTTACTCTTCAAGCAAGTGTTTTANCCGAGATGGCACTTCCAACTCTTGTTTGAAATCGAAATGAGAGTTTAGTAATAGTTCGTTTAATCGGTATTTCAATTTACTATCCAACACTGTTTCATTTTTAGAAATCGGATCAGCCGTTCCTGAGTAATTAGCAGTTTTAAAAATCTGCAAATAAGAGATAAATATCAAAATTTCAAGTTAGAAATGCATTTAAAACTGTCACCACTTCATTCCAATAAATGTCACACGCAATAAGGAAGTTTGTGTGAAAGCTATTTTCCGTTTTTTTGGCCATGGTCCGCAGGTTCCAGAGAGGTGCATATGACATGCTCAAGTTTAGGTGTAAACACCTTACCCTTTAGTCTAATCAACAAGTTCAAAAACATGAAAAATAGAGATAAAGGTCCTAATTAATTTGTTAATTATTGATGTGCAATGAGGAAGGATCAATCAAATAATTATTAAAGAAAGTAAACTGTAATCAGTAGATTTCAAATCTCAAAGAGTAGAACAGTAGCTTGATAGCCAAAACAGAACATCTAGTGAAAAAACAGTCGACCTGGCAACAGTGAACAAGGTGCTTCTTCGTGCGATTTCTTCTACACTTGCAGTGGATTAACTTCGTTGTAAAAGAATCGATTTTCTAGCTCGCGGCATTGCAAACAACACTGTGATGGGTATTACTGACTCTACTTCTTTTATGGCATAATAACTATTCGTGTGTGCACGATCACAAATGTCATAAACTGAATTGTCTTGATAACAGTTTGGTGTTGGAAAAAAAACTCCAGTAATATTCAAACAGTGCATCAAAAGTGAATTGTCTTTGCAATTTGTTTGAACTTTACTTTTTCTTGATTTTTGAAATGTTTCAAATGTTCCTTCATCTCCTGAAGATGACAACCAGGCTGTATTTCTGGTTATTGGTAAAGTGCTTGTTTTGGATTAAATCTACGCCAAAGGTACTA